TTTTTATTGTAAAAACAAAACACAGAAATGCACAAGCTGCACAGAGGACCCCAAAGCCAGGGCTGCCCAGACCCCACACCACACCACAGGCTCTGCCTTGGGAGGAGGCACCTTCCGAGACTGCTGTGAGGATTACTTCCTTGTATTTTAAAATTTACAATAGATCTGCTGTAAAAAAAAAAAAAGAAAGAACTGGGTGGGGCATTTCCTACAAATTAAAGAGACTGAACTTTCTGGCTAGGCGTGGTGGCTCATGCTTGTAATCCCAACACTTTGGGAGGCCGAGGTGGATGGATCGTTTTAGGTCAGGGGTTCAAGACCAGCCTGGCCAATACAGTGAAGCCCCTTCTCTACTAAAAATAAAAATTAGCCGGACATGGTGGCACACACCTGTGGTCACAGCTACTAGGGAGGCCCAGGCAGGAGAATCGCTTGAACCCAGGAGATGGAGGTTGCAGTGAGCCGAGATCGCACCGCGGCACTCCAGCCTGGGTGACAGGAGACTTCATCTTAAAAAAAAAAAAAAAAAAAAAAAAAAGGATAAAGGGCCTGAGCCTTCTGACTTCAGCTTCCCATAATGCAGTCCAACAGCTTCCTTGGCCTCTATATTTCTTGCAAATTGGCACCTGGATTCAGAGACTGGATCTACTCAGGTTGGATCATAAAACTCTGGCAAGACTGTGTAGATCTCTAAGAGACACAGGGCATCTGGTTGTCCTTTTGTGTGTGTGATCTTAGCAGCTGATGCTTAATACCTATGTCTTATTTATTCATTGGGATTGCAGAATGATGTTACTCTATCAGTTTTATAGTCATTAAAAGTTGGAATAATTTTATAGGTACTAATCTTCATATGCTATGCATTTAGGAAAGGTCAGGATACATGCTTGCTTCTTATTTACCAGTTTTCAAAGTAATTGGTTTGACCTATCATCCAAAATTGTTATATATTAAAATTACAAACTTATGAATCTTAACATTCAATGGCGTCCTGCGATTATTATAAGACAATGAGAATTGGGACAAGTTGAACTCATCCTGTTCCTGGCCAGTGAAAGCCTCTTTGAGTTTGCTACTGAGTCCTTTTGACGTGACCTGGCCTGTATCAGTGCCCTTTATACTTAAGAGGTCAGTTTTGCTGGATGTAAAATTTTTGGCTTACTCTTTCCTTGAAAAATCTATATTTTCTCTTGGCAGAAAGCTCAGTCCTCAAAAAGCCTGATTCCCAGAATGCCCTAAGGACTTCTTCAAGTCCAGCACTTTTGCTAAAATATCCTTGGTGTTGCTCCTTCTCAGGCCCTCGCTCCTTCAATGGCACCCATGTGCTGGATCGCTTATTTTCAATAGCCACACTCTGGAAGGCTTTCCATCCTTTTCTTTTTTTGATTTATAAAATCATCCTCATTTTCACTTGGCATTGTTTTTCACTTTGCATTCCAAGTTGCCTCAATTTCTGAAAGGATTCCTGCATTTCTAATTCCTTCTTGAGTTCTGTCACTTCATTTCTGAGTTTCTCTGATTACGCCTTTCACGTTGCATATCATTTTCTTCATGGTTTTTAGTACATTTTAAAAATTGTTTTTAGGCTGGGCGTGGTCGATCACACCTTTAGTCTTAGCACTTTGGGAGGCCGAGGTGGGAGGACTGCTTCAGTCCAGAAGTGTGAGAGCAGCCTGGGAAACACGGCAAGCTTTCTTTTAAAACAAAGTAAAAAACGGGCAGGCACGGTGGCTCAGACCTGCCATCTTGGCACTTAGGGAGGCTGAGGTGGGTGGATCACGAGGCCAGGAGTTCAAGACAAGCCTGACCAACATGGCGAAACCCCATCTGTACTGAAAGTACAAAAATCAGCGCTGGGCATGGTGGTGCACACCTGTAGTCCCAGCTACTCGGGGGACTGAGGCAGGAGAATTGCTTGAACCCGGGAGGCAGAGGTTCGACGAGCAGAGATCGTGCCAGGATACAGCAAGACTGGGTCTCAAAAAATAAAAGTTTTTAAACGTGTTTTTTTGGGTCTGTTTTGCAGGCACCCCTTCTGGCTTGCTCTCGGTGGTGGTGGGAGTACTATTCTGCTCCCTATTCTCAGCCTTCTACAGATTTGACTTTGCTCTTTTCCTGATGCTCATTTTTATGGAAAAGTATTTCATAAACATTCAGAATGGAGTATGCTTTAAGAAACCTGCTCTAACGCTGCGGTGCTCCCTCCCTGTTATTTTGTGACATGCTTAAAACATCGTGTCCGTTTGCTTTCATGGCTGCCCTGCCCATAACCCTCCCAGGCGCTGTGTGGACCCAGCCTCCACCCTGCTTGACTTTCTTCCACTCCAAGCAGTGGAACGTGCTTTACTTCCTCAGCGAGTGCCTTCCAGAAGTGAGCCCTGCCAGGTCAGTCCAGGGAGTCCAGAGGGCCTTAGTCTGCTCCCCTCAATCCAATCCTGTCCCCAACGTGGCCTCTGTACCCCAGCCTCCAGGTGCACCCCAGCTGGCCTGTGTCACCTGCTGAGCGCACACTGGCTGCTGTGCCTCCCACTGGTGTTCATGGGGCCTCATGGCTTCTCCTGCTCTCCCATCCATCAGAAGTCTTGCATGGAACCTCTGCTTTCTCCCCCAGGCACGGATAACCTACGGGTCGGGTAGGTCTTGCGACTATTGGTGCTTTACCCCAACATGCCTCTAGTTTGGGGTTTATGGGGCTACTTTATCACCTAGTTTTGCTCTAAATGATGTCCATAGGTTTTTCTTATTGTTGTGCTAAAAAACATGTAACCAGCACTGCCATTTGAACCATCTGAAAGCCAGTCCAGTTGTCCACAGGTTTTAGGTTTTGCAGTCTACATCTTCCCAGCCACGCTGGCTTTCCAAAGCCCCAACTTTTCCAGCAAAACTGATTCAACTGATTTGTTTCATGATGACATTAATAAGAATGCCTCCACCACGACCCCAGAACCGGAAGACAACCTACGGTTTGGGCTCTGCCGAAGTTCTACAGAGATGGGGAATTGCCGGGTGCGGTGGCTGGTACCTGTAACTCCGGCACTTTGGGGGCTGAGGTGGACGTTATCACCTGAGGTCAGAAGTTCGAGACCAGCCTAATATGGTGAAACCCGAGATGGAGTATTAAAGGAAACATGATATATTTGAGAATAATCACATTGGCCACACATGGTGGCTCATGCCTATAAGCCAATGGCCCCACAGTGCCCGGTGAGTGGGGGCACTGGCTTCTGCACCAAGCTGCCCTGAGCTGCTTTCCAGCCCACCCTGTGCTTTGGCAAGCCAGCAGCCTGCTCTGCCCACTGGGCTATGAGCCCCTAAAGGCCCAGGGGCTTGCAGGGGAGTGGAGATAAGGTAACTTGGACTTCCAAAGGTCCACACCTATTTTATTGTTTTGGAGGCACCTGATTAAAGCAATCCTTTTTATTTAGAAAGAAACAACACAGCAGGGATCGCACCATCACGGTGATGTTTGATCTGGCTGCGTTTAAGAAAAACCACATCATGTCTTCCTACAGAAGTGAGGATCACAAAAACTGGGTTTGCTTCTGCGTCAGCAAACATACGGCTGTGACCTGAGGACGGTCCACTCACCTGTGAAACAATGCCACACAAGCGAAAAGCTTCTCTTCGACTCTGGAACATCAGTACTCTGGCTTCAGACGCTCTCTTCTTTCTTCAATCTCTAAATTCTCCCAAGAATTTCAAACTGTTCAAGGAAAACTATTGTTTCATGATAAGAAAAAGCCATTCTTTTCTTTAAACAGTTCACATTTATTATTGATAACAATAAAAAAATCTTTTAAAGACTATCAGTATTGTATTACCAAGAGTGAGGTAATATGTTTACAAAACATTTACAGAAGTTGATATGCAAATCACAAATTTAGGAAGGAAAGTGAATAAAGACTAGTAATAGGGGGGAAATCAAAGAATCATTAGTACTAAGAAATGGGAAATGACAGCAGCATTTTAAAAGAGCGGCAAGGTACTAAAAGTAGAGACAGGATGCAAATGGCATACTCAGACCGCAGCTGCCCTAGACTTCCCTGCCAGGGAGAGCGGGACTGGGTTACTCAGGAGACCCTGGACCCTGTGAGCATTTGTGCAGTCATGTGCTGGGGGCTCTTAAAGATGCACTCAATTCTCTGGGGATGAAAGAGTACCACTCCCAAATCAACTTAAAAAGAACAGATCTTCAGCCTGGGAGGGGCAGGGGATGGCTGCAATTCAAACAGTTCTATAAACATCTCTGGGCACATGAGGACTGTTGAACGAAGCATTTTCTTGGCAGCTGTCAGCAAAATCGCCATCTGAGACACAGAGAAAGAGAGAAAGAAAGAGAAAGCAGGGACCATCTTCAGGTCCTTGTGATTTGGGAACAGGAGGCACCAAGTGGGGGCAGCACAGATGCGCTACTAGCCCTGCAGCACTTCCTGGAAGCAACGCTTCGGGTACAACTGAGGAGCTGGATCTCTAAAAGCAAACACACAAACGTGGACCAAAGGCAGGTGACCACCATGGAGGCCCAGGACAGCTACAGTGTGCAGGGAGCCACTGGGGCTGACCTGACCGGGCGAGAGGGCTGCTGGGTCCCTCCCCAGCCCTCCTGATCCCTGCACAGGGCACACACGGCCTCCACACAGCCCTCCGGTGACGCAGCGTTGAGACAGCACCACCAGGATTTCCACGCTTACCACGCAAATGGGTGACAACCACATGGGGTTTGGCATGAAACACGGCCTCTGCTGCACAGAGACACACGCTGCATGTCTTTACCATGGAGGCCACCCCTATGCGGCTTCCAGACAGATTCTCAAATCACCTGCTCTTCCCATGAAAAGCTGAAACATAAGGGCCTGTGCCAGATACAGCAGGCTTTAAAATCAGGAATTAAACAGAAAATGTAAAAGGCAAACAAATCCCGCATTCTGATTTGCTTCTGTAGACTCCTTTGTTACTCAAACTAAGTTTCTACACGCCCCGTCCCCCCAGCACCCGTCATGCACACATGCACACACACAGCACATGCACGCACACACACACTTGAGTCCATCATTCCCTGTACAAAGAAGCAGGGCTCCTACAGGCCACACGCCACCCTGGCGTGGATGTGGCAGATGCTGCTTAGCTATGAATAAGACCCTGTGGACGTGTCAAACGGCAAGTGCGACTTGCTGGTTCCCAGACGGCCTCTGGCGGCCACAGGAGGACACAGAGGAGATGCCTACGCTGAGCTGACTGCAGGTGAGGGGGCGACGCGCGGAAGGAAAAAGGGCAGGAACCCCCCCACCCAAGTTCACACACAGAAAAATCCAGCTTAAAAAGTATTAAAAAGATTTGAAAAGGAGGAGAGAGGAAGTAACGTTGAATGATGGCAGCATTTTCCTGGAGTCACCCGGAGTCCCCGAGAGCCCCTCCTGAGCCCCCAGCCCCACTTCAGGACAGCACGTGGAGTGGGGGGGTCTGCCCACAGGACAGGGTGCTCCTCAGGTGGCCTCTGAATCCTCAGAGGAAGAAGGACCTAAGTCCACAGACCATCTCGACTGTGACAGGAGGCGTGAGGGCCACGATGCAGCCTGGGGGAAACGTGCTGGCAGCTTCTGTCCCAGGTGAGGAGGGGCCATCTCTTGAGGATGTCACAGGAATTCATTCACTAACGGACAATGCAGAGTTCGTTGGAAAAATTTTTTGCATCAACATCTGGGACCGCATCAATCTTTTAACTGGTATAAAAGCTACTGTTCTTTCAAGAGAGCCCTTGTGCTCTGGTTGGATTTTATGCACAACGTAACAAAATCTATGGCTATTGAGTTAAGTTAGGATCAGAGTTAAAACTACCTGCCAACAGAGTTTTGGGATCACATGACTACGTTTACCATCTGGAGAGCTATTTGCTATCTAGAGGTGAGAGGAGTCTGTAAAATGTCACGCTGGGTGGGCGGGCGGGCGGGCGCAGCTGGCTGTTGGAGGAGGGTCGGCCATCCCCTCTGCACACTAGGCGCAGGCGGCACGGCACTACCTGGAGATCATGGAGCTGGAGTGGGACTGGCTGGAGGAGGTGGTGGCAGCACTCAGCTGCGAGAAGCCGCTGTGGCTGGACTCCAGGCTGGTCATGGAACCTCTGTAACGGCACAGGGCAGGGCGAGGTGAGGACTACCCTGCCCGCCGCCCGCCGCCCGCACTCCTGCTGGACTTCATGGCTCACCCTGCTCTCTGCTCACTTGTCATCCCCATCAGCACTTGTAAACGGGGGATGGACATGAATAACCACCGCGGGACCAGCTTCCCACAGCCTGCACGCAGACGGCATCATGAGCTAAAGCAAAGGCAAAGTTGCTCGTCCCTGACACTCTTCCCTCTGCGGACATGCAGGGAGTCACAGTGCAAACAAATGACCCCAGAGCCACTCCCTCTGCCCTCCCCCTCCAGCATCCCTGAGACCGGCCGACACTGCCTATCCTGCACATGGCATGGAACTGAACACACCTGCTGCCCCGCCCAGCTCTCTGGCAGCACCTGCGTGCTGATCCTGTACACGGCACAGGACTGCAGCCTACCCCCGCCCCACCCAGTTCTCTGGTGGCACCTGCTGCAGCAAGGCAAGGGCAGCCGTACCTGAAATCCTCGGAGCCGATCACCTCAGTGTAGTACATGACTTTGCACTTGTGCGAAGAGACCTGCAGGGACGCGAGCACATCGTCCACCCGGGGCAGGCTGCTGGCGGCGCATGCAGGCATGCTGTGGAACTTCCACTGCAGGATGTAGAAGCCCGGCCACCTGGTCACATGGGAGCCCTAAAACAAGGAAGGCAGTGGCAGCTGGCGGCAACTCACTGCTTACCCCCAGCCTAAAGCAGGTCTGACAAGAGCCAAGGGGTCTGTCTGCAGGATTTCATGTAGCTACAGGACCATCTCAACGCGATTCAGAACCTGCTATTTTGCTTCACCAACAGGTGGGATAATGTCCTTCTCTCCACTGAGTGTGGTCACTCCCGGGTGCTGGGAAGGCTACAGGAACAGACTCCATGTCTGTGGCCCTAATGAGGCCACCCCCACCCCACCTCCACCTAGGGAGGCAGGAGCCTGGAGGGATGGCAGCGCCGAGCTAGAGGGAGGGCTCAGCACAGCTTCTCTGAACTGGGCCTCATCTTCTCTGACATGCTGCCAATCATCCAGCATGTTCGGGGCTAAAGGCACATCACCTAAATTGAGACATCAATCCACAAAAATCACTGTCTCCATTCATTCTGAAATTCATGACTGTGGTAATATAGCTTAGAGGTTCATTTTTTTTTAAACTTGATAAAATATTCTTTTACTCTGCCTCTAAAACCACAGAAACACTGACAAGGCTTACCTCTGAAAACTGAAAAGGCAGCAAAATGCTGCATCTATTATGAAGGCCAGAAGCACGCTCCGGCCCCCGCCCCCGAGAACTACTGTGAGTGCAGGCACCCAAAATAACGGGCCACAATGTTAAAAGGAACTGAAAGCATTTGAAACAAATTAGAAGGTTTGGTAATGAGAGTTAATAGCTCCCTAAGTACTCCTTCCTCTCACTTCTATTTAGGGTGATTTTCCTTTGAAAAAGACAAATGCAACCCGGTGAAATGAGGCCTGGGGGAAGGTCCTCTGAAGCCCAGCTGGCCCTGTGCATGCCATGCCTTCCCTTCCTGTCACATGCTGCTTTGGGGAAAAGTCACAGATTCTGTCCAAAAGCACTGCTAGGCTTGACCTCTTTCCTGTGAGACCCGCTCGGCTTCCCAAGTCACTCTGCTCCTCAGGCGAGCTGCTCCTCTGCAGCCAGCGTCTCAAAAGCTACACAGGCTGCTCAAGGAGTGAAGCAAAAACTCGTACTCAAGACATAGTCGCCCAGCTGCTCAGTCACGGACGCGCGATTTGACGTGAGTGTGATTTTACCTGCACGCTTTCTCCTTCTTTGCAAATCAGAGGCGATTCCACCATGCTGTAGTCGCGGCCCAGCTGCCAGACTTTGTCTATGAGCTGCACATTGTTCCCGCCTGGAGAGGTGATGCTGTGGGCCCCCAGGGAGTCCTTTTTGGGTGGCTGTGGCGACCTCTTGGAGTGATAGATGTTGAAGACAATGTCCCCTTTGCACACGTCAAAATCCCAAGTGATGACTGAAGAGGCATCCACAATCTGAACGAGAATCTGAAAAAGAGACAGCGTCAGGCAGCCACACTCCATGAGCACAGGCCATGTGCTGACGCACACCATCCCCTCCAGGGGCTCCAGGCCCAGGTGCCAAAGCTGGGGAGGGAAAGGCTGCATGGGCATGGGCGGATCTCTTTGCCCAGAGTCACACCACCATCTGTCTTTCAACCGCTGGCTTCTGCCACATGTCGTGCACCAAGCTCTGTGCTCTTTGTGACTTGCACCTACAGGCCCAAGAGCTCCCGTACACCATCTTCAGACACATGTGAAGAGACCAACCAGGTCTCAGTGTAACACCAAATGCTGAGCTTGTACATGAGTGGTTCAGAGGACTGGCCTGGGCTGGAGAGCAACAGAAGGCCCTGGAAAAGGTGAAAGCTGAGGGAACAGAAGGTGGGGGAGTCTCAGGACAGTGTTCCTAGCAAGGGGAAAGTAGGGGCACGGCACCAGGCCTGCCGTGTGAGGCTGGCACCAGAGCAGTGGCGAGGCTGGTGAGTGGGATGAGCCCCTGGCATGGTGGAGGAGGGGGTGGGTGGTCAGCCCCCCGGGTGCTGAGAACCAATCGAAAACCTGAACTTACACGGTGCCGACAGAGCTTCTCAGCAGGCAATGATCAAAGTTAGTTTTAAAGATTAGTGTGGGAGGAACATGAGAATTAAAAGCAGCTGTGCAGAGTTCTGCATTCACTGAAAACTCCGCCTAAGGAAGCGGCAGAGCCAGGCCCACGGCCCTCTGCCCTGGCGCCTGCTCGTCAGCCCACTGCGTGCCGTCGCTGTGCCATTCAGCACTTGGCTGCTCTGCAAGCCAGGCTCCTTTGCCAACCCCACCACTGCCACTTCACCACTGAAACGCCACTCTAGAATGCCCTTCCACAGCAGATTCGATGAGGTACAAGAGTCCTGTCTAAGGACGGCAGGCGGCACTACGCAGCACGGCCCACTCTTCAGCAAAGCAGCTCCCCAGGCAGCTGCAGCCGGAGACCCTAGCCCCTGTGCTGACAGGCGCCTCTTTGCTGCACTCACAGCTGGGGCCTCTGCTCCAGCCTGCATTTAGGTTTGTTACCATCTCGGGTCTATGCTTTATTTAATACCCAATGCAGAGCTGAGGTTTTGACCACATGGATGTTTACAGATGCCCCCTGATTCACATGAAACCCACTGCACCCCAAGTTCCTGAAACATGGACAAGAGTGACCGCACGTACTCAACAATGAGTACTTAACAATGAGTACTCAACAAGGACCTGGCCTCCTGGAGCCTGCCCTCCAGTTAAGAAATTAAGACAGAGAATCCTCAAGATGTTAGGAAACGTGAGATTCCCCTGTGTATCTACAAGGCACACCAAATCTGTCTCTGCTTTTTCAAACCATGGCAACAGTGTTCTCTGATCCACCTGCCAGGTGAGGCGCTCAGGAAGACAGTGCAGCAGAAGCCACTGGCAGACAGCTGACCCACATGCCACCATGGCAGGAAGCAGGCTGGCGTCAGCACCACTGCCTGAGTCAGCACCATAGCCTCACCGAACACCTGCTCCGCACAGAGCCCCACCATCCTCTCCAGCAACTCTGGGCCATGAACCTGGCCCTTGAGCTGAGAAGGGAGATTCCGCTGCAGGCCCCTCCCGCTTCAGGTCACTCGTGATGCTACAGGACAAACACAAAGCGTGCATAGGAACACGGAAAGCTCCTGCTTCTGCACCAAAAGTAATAGCAAGAAAGGAACACAGACTTACAGAAATCAGAAAATTCCCCAAATATCTATAAATAACCAAAACCCAGTCAAGAAAGTAGCAAATGAGCCAGGCACAGTGGCTCAGGCCTGTAATCCCAGCACTTTGGGAGGCCCAAGCAGGTGGATCACCTGAGGTCAGGTGTTCGAGACCAGCCTGGCCAACATGGTGAAAATGTCTCTACTAAAAATACAAAGATTAGTCGGGTATGGTGGTGGGTGCCTGTAATCCCAGCTACTTGGGAGGCTCAGGCAGGAGAATCACCTGAACCCAGGAGACGGAGGCTGCAGGGAGCTGAGATCATGCCACTGCACTCCAGCCTGGGTGACAGGGCAAAACCCCATCTCAAAAAAAAGAAAAAGAAAGAAAAAAAAAACAGTAGCAAATGAAACTTGTTCAGTATAATCAAGAAATAAACTAAGTTCAGGAGTTAAGTGCTTCAACAAGGAAAGATGAGTTACTCCTATCTCTGTGCTTGGTGTCTTTAGTAAAATGGAGGTCAAGAGATCTAATTTCCTTTCCAGGCACTCTGATCAAGCACTTTTCTATTCTGAGAGACCTGTTCTTCCTTGTCGACATTTACTGAAACTAGGTATCAAGTGTCAACAAAAGCCTAAAGACAAAGACCAGAAAAACAAGCACTGTTCTCAAGGAAAGACTGTCAGAAGCCCTGCAGGGGTGGGAGGACCGGCTGCCCGGGCGCCTTTGGGTGCAGGAAGGTGGGTGTACCTCGTGGGGGGCTCCTTTGAAGACGCTTGCAGACTGGTAGATGGTCTCAGTCCAGAGCTTGAGGTCTTCATTCTCTAGCTCTTCTGCAGTCCGGTACAGAGATTTGGGGACCAGTCCACCCTCTGGCACTTCGCACTGGAAACAGAAACGGCAGTGAAAACTGTGCAAACACAAACCAACCGCACGAAACACAGCCGCGGCCACCAGCCAGCACCATCCCGCTGCGCTCCACTCCCGGAAGTTGCCGAGAAGATGGAAAACACTGGCAGGGGTGTAAGATACTCTGCACTGCCGAGCGGTATGTTTTTAAACCACTTCAACATGTATTTCACTTTGCAAAGATGAGAACAAGTCAAAGCTGATTTACCACAGAATCATAGCAACATGTGTGAGGCACTACACCCAATTACTAAAGATGGCTCATTTAAGCATGCGGAGTATTTCCGTTGCCCCGTAGAGGAAGAGCATTACTTTAAGAAGAGTTTTGCTCTCAATAGCCACAGGCACTATTTTTATGCTATGAAATTATAGTCAAGATATAGCATCAATGAATAATGTTTTGTGTCTCAAGTCAAATGACTGGTCTGTAACACCAGACAAAACCTAACGAAGAACTTCTGGATTTGCCTGAAACAAGTTGAATTAGAATTTGTACATATCGTAAATCTCCTAATTAACCTTGAGACAATGACTCCACACTAAAGTCCATAAAATCCAAGTCCTCCCTCTGTCATCAGCCCTAGGAAGCAACTACATAGAAAATAAACATCTCCGTCTTCCGCCTGCAGCGCAGCATGAGTGGAGAGGGTCACAGCAGCGAGAGCATGCTGGAAAAGCCCCAGCCTGGCCCATGGTTAACAAACTCTGCCACCAGAGAGCAGAAGTGCACAGCCTCCTTTCAACAACCAGCCCGAACAGCAGCTCAGGACAGCGGTGAGTAAGTCTCAGAAGGCCCACGTTTTTGGAGAGCTCAATTAACCACAGAGACATTCAACATGGCAAATACTCTACGGAAGTCAGCATGTGACAACACGGCTGTGACTGGCAGTCTGCGTCAAGTCTCCTTGTGCGCCAGCTCAATTCTCCCCGTCGTAACTGCTTCGGGATGGTTAGCTCACATAACGAAAGTTCAGAGGTTTCGACAAACCTGAGCCGGTGTTAACCTCAGAGACACTTTGCTAAATTCTGGTCCCATGACTTTTACTATTACTTACTCGCTCTTTGCACTGCACTGTGATGATGCCTGTCATTTCCCGAAACTGGAACTGATGAAGTAAAAGCTACATGTGTTTTCTAAACTTCTCTAACCATTCAGAAAGTCTGAAGTCCCTTGAGTGTCCAATTCATCAGCTAAATACATGGGTCAAACCCAGTGGGTACACATCTCAAACAGGTAACTTTATATGAAGGATGACTAGAGAGCCCTTGGATAAGAAGCTTCATTCCCTGCTGAGTTCAGCTGCCACCACGTGCCACAGAACAAGTCACTGGGACTTCCACAGGCTTTGGCTTCCTTAACGCTCCCGTGGCACAACGTGAGCCATGGCCAGAAGGTTAGAAGGACCCCAAGGTTCTGAGCTTCTCAGAGCACAGGGTATAGAAATGGAGGCCTCTGCTTGATTACCCAGCAACTCAGTGTATTGAAAACCCCAAACATATTTTGAGAGCCACTTCCCTTCATTCTTCTACTTTAAAAATGTTATCCAGACCAGGCGTGGTGGCTCATGCCTGTAATCCCAGCACTTTGGGAGGCCGAGGTAGGCAGATCACTTGAGGTCAGCAGTTTGAGATCAGCCTGGCTGACATGGTAAAACCCTGTTTCTACTAAAAGTACAAAAATTAAACGGGTGTGGTGGCGCATGCCTGTAATCCCAGCTACTCTGGAGGCTGAGGCTGGAGAATTGCTTGAATCTGGGAGGTGGAGGCTGCAGTGAGCCGAGACTGCAACACTGCACTCCAGTCTGGGGGACACGGGGAGACTCCATCTCAAAAAAAAAAAAAAAACACCCAAAAATGTTATCCAGCCTGGGGCAACATAATGAGGCTCCGTCTCTACAAAAAATACAAATATGAGCTGGGTATAGTGGCACATGCCTATAGTCCCAGCTACTTGGGTGGCTGAGGTAGGAGGATGACCTGAGCCCATGAGGTCAGGACGCAGTGAGCTGTGATCTGTGATCACACCACTGCACTCTAGCCTGGGTGACAGAGCAGGACCCTGTCTCCATAAAAATAAAGGAGGGGAGAGGTGGGTGAAAAATTTTGAGAACTGATTCAATTTAATAGTGTTTTAAAAAATACGACAGCTCCTCTAAAATGGTTTAAAGATCTGATTCACACAAAGCCCTGTGAATAAGGCAAGCTGCAACTGTATCTGATTCTACAACAAATTCTCATTTTTATTTAACAACGAAGAAATGTATAGTATCAACAATTACTTAAATGGTTCTCTTTAGCTTGATCCTGGATCAGAGAAATGGCAGCCAAAAGAAACAAAACATCCAAATGAAAAGTTCTGAAAATCATCTGTGCAGATCAACATGACCTCTCCCACCTGTCTACGGAGCCAACTGTGCAGTTCCTCGCCTCGCTACATACCATGCACTCCCCACTCAGGAAATCTGGAATAATCTCTTTGTCAATGTAATCCAGCAGGCCTCCTGGACCCTGGTAGTCGTTTCCTGCGTAAATGAGGAATTTCCTTCTGGTGTTGTCATCAATGAAGGGACTCACCTGTGAGGAGGAGAAAGACCATCGAGTCGTATCTGATCTGAGGCCTGATTGGCAAAGATTAAATTGACAATACGGTTATGAATGGGGGGGGGTTTCAAGTTTATATACTTTTTCTGTAAAGTCTATTTGCATGGCATTAGGACACTCAGACTTTGCTTTTCTTCCCCCTTCCCTAAACAATTTGAGAAATTTTATATCTTTGCATGTTGTTTTTTTCTAAGTAGTTAAGGCTTTAGGTCACAGACATGTCTGTATGAATGCATGTGTATTTGCTTTCCAAATGGCTCACAGTTACTGCAAAAGGCATCTCAACCCACCAGCGTCCAGAGCACAGGAAACACCCTGGGTGCCCGCAGGATGAGAAGGCGGCCCAGCGTCTCGGGGTAATTGGCCTCCACCACCTCGATGATCCGCAGCAGCGCTTTGACGCCAGGTCTCCACAAGTGGCGCATGTTCAGCCCTTCCAAGTCCACCAGGCAGGTCCAGGAGCTGCAGGTTGTGCAGAGATGTGTTTCATTCAAGAGACAGCAGCACACTCAGTAAACCGTGTCTTACAACTTTTTTCCTTTTTGGTTATTTATAGCTATTTCCAAATACACAGTAATCAATTTCTTAAAATTACAGTGCTATGAACTCGGTTTATATCTATTTGTACAAAACACACAGGATCAGTGTGGTAGGACCATGCCTGAAACTGCAAGGCTGATTGGTAGCACATGAAAATCTCTCTCAGATGTGCTCAGTGAGCCGGCAAGCAAAGCCAGAGTGTGCTGTCCTCCACGTGCTAAACCACCCCCTAACCTGCCATCAATAGGCACACAGCTGGTATTTTAACACATACTGTGTCTGAACTGCAGTGAGCTATGCTTCAACAGTGAGAGGCAAGCAGTCTCAGGAGCTGAGAATACAGCAGTGAGCAAAGAGCCCTCAAAATCCCTGTTCTCATGGAACTTATATCCCAGTGAACCATCTACACCCTTACCAATGTCAAACCTCTGAACCGCTGAACATTTTCAGAACTGTGGATTGAAACTGAAAGCATGGTTTCCGCACACAGAGTCATCTGGGTGAGGAGGAGAGGCAAAAACAGGGAAATGACGTGCAGCCCTAGGCCCATGTGGACCACACGAACCAGGCAGACAGGCCAACACACCCAGGCTGATCGACAGCAATGCTTGGGACAGGAAACAGTGTCTGTCCCTCGCCACTGGCATTATTACATGTTCACCTCTTTTCTACCTTTTAGAGCATCTTGGAAAATACGAAGCAGATTTTACTTCCAAAAACCAACTAGAAATATTTAATTTGTTTTCTCAGTAAATTGAAAGGAAAAGCAAAATCCCACATCTACCTGATAGGCCGACCAAAGACTTTTGTATTCTCTTCACATCGTCTTAGCCCTTCTTCATTTATGGAGAGAACCTGCACACGAAAGAGGATGAAAATTTCCCATGATTAGTCTCAGGATGAAACTAACGCGTCCAGCTATGGAAGAGGGACACAAACAGCATTTTACCGCTAAGTGTGTAAACCAAAAAAGTGACCTATGTAGGTTTTCTTACACATTCACATGTGCTAACCACATCACCCACAACAAAAAAATGTGACCCCTGAAAGAGAATAAACACTGTCAGGTACAGCAAAGGTAACAGCTATCCAGAGAGAAGTGTAGGCCAGAAGAATCACAGGATGAGCAGGGGCCTCACACTGGGGCTCTGTCTTCAGAACGAGTGCCTGGGAACAGCAGATAAGCAAGCGTCTGTGAGTGTGCAAACACTCTCATACCACACGCCAGCCAAGAGAAAAGGCAGCATTAGAATAGACTTCAGGCATGGCTCAAGAGATCCTCTGTTTCAGATTAATAAACCCTTCCCCTGCAATTGAAGTCCATCCATATCTTCATGTGTGAACATGCGCATGTATGGATAAACACACGTGGCGGTGGGGGCAGACTAACAGCAATACACAAGGGAATGCCAACAGTAAGCCAGGCTCAGCGTTGGTCCTTGTAACAAGGCCCAGCTACTCAGGAGGCTGACATGGAAGAACCACTTGAGGACAGGAGTTTGAAGGTGCAGTGAGTGATGATCACGCCCATGAATAGACCCTGTACCCCATGGGGGTGTCTTTAAAAAAAAAATGTTGGCCGGGTACGGTGGTGCACACCCGTAATTCCAGCACTTTGAGGCAGGAAGATCACCTGAGGTCAGGAGTTCGAGACCAGCCTGGCCAACATGGTGAAACCCCGTCTCTACCAACAATACAAAAAAATTGGCCGGGCATGGTGACGGGCGCCTGTAATCCCAGCTACTCCGGAGGCTGAGGCAGGAGAATCACTTGAACCCAGGAGGTGGAGGTTGCAGCGAGCTGAGATCATGCCATTGCACTCCAGCCTGGACAACAAGAGCGAAACTCTGCGTCAAAAAAATAAAGAAAAAATAAAGCCAAAAGTGCGTATTTCAGGGTAACGGGGTCATAAATGTGCCTGTTAAGTTTGTGTTTTCAAATTAAAGGACCATCTTCTCTGGGAGGGGAGGCACAGCTGCACACTGGCCACAGCAGCGGAGCGGGGCCTGGCTGGAGTCAGTGAGATGACGGGTCAGCAGGGCCTTCAGGACGGTCTAGAGAAAGACGCCAAGAGCGCGCGTCAAGGAAGGGCCAGTGGAAAGAATGCTATCAAGAGGTCTGCTGTGAGCGGCGTCCGAGGAGAGGGCAATTCCACGTGGGAGTGAATGAAAAGACAGAACCGTGGCCACACAGGCATCTCGGGGGAGACCCTGACTGCTACACTGACGCTGCCAATGAGAGAAACACTTTCATAACTTCTGTGTCTTCTTTGCAAATTTTAAGACTACATTAATATATTTTCAGTTCTAACGCAAAAAGCAATTCACGTTTGTTCTAACAAGCTGGTTAACACCCCCATCCTGCTGGCAGAAAAAGACAGTGACGCCACAGTGGAGCCTGGGGTCTCTCGGCCCCGCACTTACGTATCTCAGCAGGGCCTCCTCCCCGAGCGCTCTCACCAAGCCTTTGGTGTCCATCTGCCCCAGCCTGAGCACGTAGAGGGGCCGCCCATCTGCAAGGGAGGGGAAGGAATGGGTTATCAGCACTGTCCCAGCTGGCATTGAGGATACGAGTCTAAGACCCTTAACAGGAAAATGCCTGTTTGCCTGTGTTCTGGGTGCGCGTGAAGGTCTTTCTGATTCTTAGAAGCGGCAATTGATTTCTGTGTGGGGTAGGGGGTGTGTGTCCAACATTTTTCCCCAAAAGTTGTAAGCGAGAAAAATAAAAACCAACGGACAGAGAGAGTAGCTGTGCGGAGTCCTGGAAACAGAAGGCTGTGCTGGGATGAGGGGAACCCAGCGGGGGCTCAGCTCAAGCTGCCCAGAGGCGGGGCTCAGTCTCCTCACTTTGAACAACTGGGGCTGCCCAAGAGCTCAGATTCTCAATGGCAAGGGAACATCAGACTAGCCAGACACTTCCATGACTACAGACAACTTTCACAGTTCCCTTCTTAGAAAATAATTATTTTTCATGTCATAGATCACTAAAAACCGAATGCAAGATTTTTAAAAGCCAGCTTCCCTCAATTCCCACTCCCAAAGAAGGACCAGTTCTACGGTGCTTCCCTCTCACTGATGCTTCCAATTCCTCCCTGCCCAGCTGGCAAACTTTGGCTTAGGAAAGAATGTTATTTTTGACAGTGCAGGTCTTCCTGCAAGGCAGGGTATGGAAGGCATTCGGAGGAACTGTGTTTCAGGTTCTCATTTAAATCGCTCTTCATTTGAGATGCATCGCCACCCCTCATCCACGCCCTACTCCCAAAGCGGAACTGAAGTGCTCACTGCTGATGGAGAAAACCTGGCTGAACCATTTTCAGCTATCAAAGGGTTTAAGTCATCGAAAATTCCCTTAATTAATACTGTGCTCGCTGTCTTTTCAATAGGTCAAAACAAACTGTACTGCACTGAAGAAGTCAAATCACTTGCCCAAGGATGGCATGTGTCCGTGGGGAAGCAGCAGGCCCAGGTCCCTCCTGGCTGCCCAGGGCAGGACGGGAGTGCGCCCGTAGTGAAGTGGAGCATCAGTTTGTTCAACTCGGGAAAAGATGCCCGGTTCTCAGAGTGAAGAGAAACACACACTCAGCAGGGCCCCACTCAACCCCATGGAAGGAGGTCTTAGACGATCTCTTCAACGACACAGCAAGACAATGACGGAAACACAGACAGTTTCAACTCCATCCGGTACCTTTGTCGTGATGATGCCAGCCTCCTGCGTAGTAATCCTGAAGGACCTGTGGAGGGGTCCAGGTCTCGAGAATGTAGTCCACCTGGTGCTGCTTCCGCCACGTCAAAGATTGACACATGATCTCTCTGGCTTTGTCAATATTAAAATCCCGCGCACGTAAGAACCGCAGAATATGCTCATCTTTTGGAATCTATTAAGAGAGAAAGATGTTTCTAAGCAATGTTAAAACTTGCAAAGGGCACTTTGGGAGGCCAAGGCAGGCGGATCACTTGAGCTTAGGAGTTCGAGACCAGCCTGGCCAATATGATGAAACCCCATCTCTACTAAAAATATAAAAATTAGCCAGGCCTGGTGGTGCATGCCTGTAATCCCAGCTACTCGGAGGCTGAGGCAGGGAGAGGATCACTTGAACCTGAGAGGTGGAGGCTGCAGTGAGCCAAGATCACACTATTGCACTAATAAAAAAGTTGCTAAGGGAATAAGACTCTAAAATTTCCACTTTTCTTTGGGAGACAGGCTCTCTCATTCTGTCACCCAGGATGGAGTGTTGTGGCACCATCTCAGCTCACTGCAGCCCCCAACTCGAGGGCTTAGGCAATCCTCCCACCTCAGCCTCCTGAGTAGTTGGGACCACAGGCACAAGCCACCACGCCCAGCTAATTTTTGTATTTGTAGAGATGTGGTTTCCCCGTGTTGCCCAGGCTGGTCTCAAACTCCTGAACTTAAGCGATCCTCCCACCTTGGCCTCCCAACATGCTGGGATTACAGGCATGAGCCACCACGTCTGGCCTAAAACTCCCACTTCTAATCAACAGTGAGCTGCATTATTATACTATTTAAAATGAGCTGGTACCAGAAAAATCTCCCTTACTACTCTAGAGAAAATCAGCATTATCAGTTTGAATAATCTTTATAGTAATCCATTTTGGTTTCCACAAAGTACAGCAAAGGCATAAATGATACCCTAAACACCAAATGCTTCAATTCTATGAATGATCGGATCTGTGAATTACTATGCTCTGTGCACTTTTCTGTATACACACTACATTTAAATAAAAAGTCAGACTAAGAGAGCAGGACACCTGGCTTCTGAATGGAAACCCTCGTAGTGCTGGTGGCTAAAGAGAATTAAACATGGGTGACGTTGAGAAAGGCAAGATTTTTGTTCCAAAGGTGCTCAGTGCCACACCATGGAAAAGGGAGGCCAGCACAAGACTGGGCCAGATCTCCACAGTCTCTCTGGGTGGAAGATAGGTCAGGCCACTGGACTCTCTTACACAGATGCCAATAAGAACAAAGGCATCACCTGCAGTGAGGACACGCTGATGGGGTATTTGGAGAATCCCTGGAACAAAAATGGTCTTCATTGGTGTTGAGAAGGAGGCAGAATGGGCAGACTTGAAAGTTTATGTCAAAAAAGCTACTAATAAGTAATAATTGGTCACTGCATTATTAATTACAAAACCGAAGTGTCACGACTTTTTTTTTGAGACGAAGTCTCACACTGTCGCCCAGCCTATGCAGTACAGCCCAGGCTGTAGATGCAATCTCGGCTCACTGCAACCTCCGCCTCCCGGGTTCATGCAATTCTCCTGCCTCAGCCTCCCAAAGCTGGGACTACGGGCGTGCACCACCACACTCAGCTGATTTTTTTGTATTTTTAGTAGAGATGGGGTTTCACCCACGTTGGCCAGGATGGTCTTGACCTCCTGACCTCGTGATCTGCCCGCCTCAGCCTCCCAAAGTGCTGGGAAAACACGTGTGAGCTGCCGCACCCAGCCTCTGTCATGACTTTTTAATGTGTATCATAATTTAATAGATCTATCTCACACAGCAGAATTCAGATCATGAAGGACCATCAGAATATTTCTGTTGGGCAGTCCTGATTCAACTAAGGCTGGCTTCTGCTTAAAGAACTATGTTCAGCTTTTTGAATTTTAAGAATTCTGATTCAGAGGCCGGGCACAGTGGCTCACGCCTGTAATCCCCGCACTTTGGGAGGCTGAGGTGGACGGATCATGAGGTCAGGAGATCCAACATGGTGAAATCCCATCTCTACCAAAAATACAAAAATTAGCTGGATGTGGTAGCGTATGCCTGTAATCCCAGCCACTTGGGAGGCTAAGGCAGGAGAATCACTTGAACCAGGGAGTCAGAGGTTGCTGTGAGCCGAGATCATGCCACCGCACTCCAGCCTGGTGAAGAGC